TTTTTGGTTCCTCGTCTGGTGCTTCCTTTTAGAGGATAAATGACTGGTCGGCTCGGAGTATGTATACTCTTTGGGTTGGGTAGCCCTGTTAAACATTGCAGCTTAGAGGGTGGATCAAAGGCATTAGTGGGCATTAGTACACACACAACACACACACACACGTATTAGGGTAAATCGGTTTCATATCTATTCAGAATCTGTTCATATCTAATTGGGCTTCTAGGAAGCCCAAAGTGAAGATTTCCCTGCTCCTTTTCTGGCAGATTCTAAATTTAGACTAAAATTCACTTATGAACGTAATTGGCGCTCCGCACTGGTGAATAGTTCTAAGATGCGTTCGTATTCTCAATTTAGGACTGTTTTCACTGTTGACCAGAGGGAGAGAGAGAGAGAGAGAGAGGGGTTGTGGTGCAGATTTTAAACATAAAGAGTGTCGTACACAGTAACAGTATATATGTTTGACAGAAAAAATGTAAACTTCTGAACCTGAATAAATCTGGACTTACTTTCTTTAAGGCTTTAGGGAGGGCTAGGGAGTAGGGAACATGTGGTTCAGGGACTGTGAGACTGGCTAACACAAAAACTTTGACCGCTTTAGAATTGCAATATTCTTAAATGAGGCTCTTCGACCCGTGAAGATCCGGGGTAGAATAGGTCTTCAGCAACCCATTCTTGTCATAAAAGGCGACTGCTTGTCGTAAAAGGCGACTAACGGGATCGGGTGGTCAGGCTCGCTGACTTGGTTGACACATGTCGTCGGTTCCCAATTGCGCAGATCGATGCTCCTGCTGTTGATCACTGGATTGTCTGGTCCAGATTCGATTATTTACAGACCGCCGCCATATAGCTGGAATATTGCTGAGTGCGGCGTAAAACTCAACTCACTCACTCACTCACTAATGAGGCTCTTCACCTCACTTTACGTCGGTATTTCCTTGATATGACGATGACATGTATAGTGAACAGGTTTTTCTAGACAAACAAATGGGTTTCCTCAAACTATGGTGATTATTCAGAGGCCCAAGGGCGATGTAAGGTGAATAAATCGTCACATCTTGCCTCATTTCCTCGAGGGGTGATGTTTGTGTATGAAAACGCACCTACTGCAGGTTTGATTGATGGTCATGTTGTTGTGTATGTCAACGGACACGTGCAGAGAATTTGAGCGGCGTCAAACATGCCGCTCAGATAAACTTGGTCAGCATCTGGTCACTGGCCGAGATATGATTCAGTCAATGATATAAAGTAGTGCGCATTGGGAATGGATGTTTTATACAGTATGTGAACATTTTGTTCATATACATTTTAATTTAACGTAAACATTGTGTGACTTTTATTCTTCCAAAATTGCAAACAACTTTGGACAAGTATTTGGGTTGACAACTAAGCCTTTTCAAGCAAAGAAATACAATGTACAATAAATTACAAAAATATCGATTTGTAAATTCAGTAGAAAAGCTATAAGTAAGTCCTCGAATCTTGCTCTATACTTTGTATATTTTAAAATGTATATATGTTTCGGAAACTGTTTTTTTCCTCTCTGGTGCATCGAGTTTATGTGAATTTTCATGTCGGAATTAGCATTATGTGTTTGTACAGAGCCGCATGCATGCACGTGGGTGGATGTTGCTTCTGGGATGCCAGGCCACTTATTCCCGTCTATGACAAGAAATATGATAGACTGTCAATGGTGTTGAAGCTACCTCTCATTACATACATGTATATCCATGACGTTGTAAGTTTAACTGTGTTTCAACTAAAAAGACATAGTATGATGAGAATGTTCTTAAATCGTTGTTAGTCAAAGAAATGTGAAAACCTTTTTAGAATTTATAAAAATGTTATCTTTCTGAAAATAACATTAAGGTGTTTTTAAATATTGGAACATGTGGACTTAGGAAGCGACGTAAAAAATATATAAAAATATATAAAAATATAAATGTATATATATGTTGTATATGTGATTTATTTTGTATGCGTGTGTGTATATATATATATCTAATTCTATATATAGAATTGAAGAAATTATATCTGTACTAAGGATCTTCAGACTTTTGTCTTTTGTGTACACACAGACACACACACACACACATACATACATACAAAATAATTCACATATGCTCAAATTGAAGCGCAGAAAAATGCCTAATTTCAGCCTAGACTTGTGGGAGTCTTTACTTGACCGGTCATACCAGACTAGAGTTAGACTCCTTAATGTTGTCCCCAGAGTCTCGGAGATTATATTAAACCAAGCCCATTCAGTCGTGTATTACATTCATTGAGAGTTCACTTATCACATACGCTAGCTTGTATTTCACAACACAGGAATATGTTCGCTCCCTTGTTATCGTCACCATGGCAATATTCACATATACATGTACGACTATAGAATAAACAGCGTCTCTAAGACTTGTAAATATCAGCGCCATGATCCCCTATTGATAGGCCATACGTGCAAACCTGTGTCCATTGAGTGAGTCATTGTCTCTCATTGTAGCCATAATTAGTCAATAACTGGCAATTGCAGTGATGTATATGACACAGCTGAGTTGTTTGTATCGATAAATCGCACATCGTGTCGAACTATCTTCAAGGTAAGGCTCATTGGGAGTTGACAAGTCATACTAGACACAGTGATATGTTCATTCCGTTGTCATCGTCGCCAAGGCAATATTTACACATGCGACTACAAACAGCGTCTCTAAGATTTGTAAATAACAGCGTCATAAACACATACTGATGAGGTCATATATATGAACCAAAGTATGAAAAGTGTGTGAGTACAGCAGTACTTACACACAATAGGATAACAACCAGCCCCCAGCAATAGGCAGAAGCCGTAGTAGAAGTAGTAGTAGTAGTAGTAGTAGTAGTAGTAGTAGCATCAGTAGTAGTAGTAGTAGTAGTAGTAGTAGTAGTAAGTGGAGTTATTTAGTTTTACGCCACTTTTAGCAATATTATAGCAATATCACGGTGGGTGATACCAGAAATGGGCTTCACACATTGTACTCATGTGGGAAATCGAACCCGGGTCTTCAGCGTGACGAACGAACGCTTTAACCACTAGGCTACCCCACCGCCCCTGTAGTAGTAGAAGTAGTAGTAGTAGTTGAAGTAGTAGTAGTAGTAGTAGTTCTTGTAGTGGTTGTAGTAGTAGTAGTACTAGTTGTAGTAGTAGTAGTAGTAGTAGTACTAGTAGTAGTACTAGTTCTAGTAGTAGTGGTAGAAGTAGTAGTAACAGTAGCAGCAGTAGTAGTAGTAAGTTGAGTTTAGTTTTACGCCGCTTTTAGCAATATTCCAGCAGTATCACGGTTGGTGATACCAGAAATTAGCTTCACAGATTGTACCCATGTAGGAAATTGAGCCCGGGTCTTCAGCGTGACGAGCGAACGCTTTAACCACTAGGCTACTCCACCGCCCCTGAAGTGGTAGAAGTAGTAGTAGTAGTAGTAGTAGTAGTAGTAGTAGTAGTAGTGGAAGTAGTAGTAGTAGTAGTGGAAGAAGTAGTAGTAGTAGTTCTAGTAGTGGTTGTAGTAGTAGCCGTAGTAGTAGTAGTACTAGTTGTAGTAGTAGTAGCAGTAGTAGTAGTTTCAGCTATGTAGACGGATGCAATGTTTTTCGAGGGAAAAAAAGAAGCGCTTTGAGCATGCATGTGGGATGGACTATAGCGCTATATAAATATCCATATAATAATAATAATATACATACATGCACTCAAAACATATATAGAGATGAAATATCCCTGATACAAGCTTGTTCACATTAAGACTACGCTCAACACTACATTGACATGCTTGACTAACACAACAGGCAGCACCAGATGAAGATTCTAACACTTAAAGGAATGAGCATCACAAAAGGCTCTCTTGTCATCATGCTGGATGATAAATAGCATGTCTTCTTAATCTCATAGACATTCCTACACTCATACCGTGATCAAGTTTAGCTGGAATATTTTCGTAACAGACAGGTTAAATTCAAAATGGTGAAATGCCACACCTACATTTCTGTATTGTGCTCCTCTGTCCTACCAGAAAACAGTAGCTAATTTTAAACACGTGAAAAGTAGGTAATATGTTTTAACTTTTCCCCTTTCTTTCATAGTTCAACACAAATCATTTGAAACGGTACATGATGTACATGCTTAAAAATGGAGCACTGATAGATCATGAAACTTTAGCTTTTTGTAACCCTGTGATTCAAATTCACCCACTTTAATTTGCCCAATCGAAATATCGACCATAATCTGAAATAAAGCGAATTCTGTTAAGCATACGAATGCAAGGGTTCCGCGCGTTGAGGCTGTCTAATAACGGGTAACCCATCCCACAAGCCCCGTTATAGCACTTTGGGGCCTACAGGTAACAATGCCAGAGAAAATCGAACTGCTTAGTTATGTACTGCATCATCACATGTATAGCCTACTCTTTCGTAACTAATATCATTGTTTCGTATGCTGAGACAATCCAAACCACAGATCTGTTGTTACATACGACTGATTGGGAAATACCTTGAAAAAGAGGACAAATCTAACCTTCAAATGATGCCATATGGGCGTTGATCGTTTTAGCGTGCGGAATCAATAGCTTAATCATACCGGTGATTAATACGTACAGGTTACAACATATCGATTTTATAACCAGTGCCCAGTCCAACCGCATATATGCAATACATGCACCGATCAGCTTAACTAGTCGGTAAAACCCTGATATTTCATATCCGTTTGTGGGTCGTGTTTCGTAAGGATAAACCTGTAAGGCGCTTGTAGATTAAACGGCTATTCCATGTCGAAAACCTAAGTGGGGATCTGATATACCAGTCATAACACAAAGCCCCTCCCTCGTGAACGCTCTCATTCGTTAAGGTGTTGGCCGGTCGAGCAGGAACACGTTGAATGACAAGCAAATGCGGCCACGTCGAGCGCAGAAATCACGTGCTTGCTAGGCGACCACGTGACCTGGTGTTTACAATGACGTGGAACAACGAGTATAAATAGCAGCAGGCAGACTACACATTTCGTCTCTAAACACTGAGCTGAATAGCTGATATCACGATAACGTGAAACGATGCTGGATATGCCTGAACGGGCTTTTAAGCCTTCAAATGGCGATCAAATACTAGATTGTGACATGGACACAAGTGAGATTGAGGGTGTTGATGAATTTGGTATCCAAACCCAGTCATCTAAACTGAAGCTGTCGTCTGACGCAAAGCTACAGCGTGCAAATATGGACAACGTCTCCAACGTGGTCAACACTTCACCACTTTCGGGTCAGGAACTGTCTCAGGATCTATTCTCCCTGATCGGTATGTAAGCATTCCTAAATTGTGTTGGTTGTAGCTGTGTGTGATTATGGATTTATGCACTGGCAACCACACCCATGAGCCATATGGTCTACCATCATTATACTGTATAGCATTCATACATGCATGGCTATATCACGTTCGCTTATGAAAATGACTCATATGAACTGACGAGTCCTTTCGTGTTATTTACATACTCTGAAAAGAGTGTAGCTATGTTTAGTATTCCACGTTGCGGTTGAATAGCCCAGTGGTTACAGGGTTGGCTTGTCACGCCTTAAGCTGGGTTCGATTCTCAACATGGGTGCAATGCGTAAAATCCAATGTTGAAATATTTTACTGGTATATTGTCAAAAGCGGCATAAAACCATTTTCATTCACGCACTCACTATACATTGCAGTGACACCACACACACACACCCAATCACGGGGAGAAAAAAATCTCCTTTGGGATATGTTTAAGCATTGTGAAAGGATACCACATTTTGAAGGGCGTGTAGAAGTAATGAACAGATACAAGCTGTCATGTCAACTTTTCTCGGCTGTTTGTACAGAAATGCAACATTTGTTTCTGTCAAGTGTGTTTTCCTCTGATCAAACAGTTGATGTGTTAAAGAACATAACAAATGCCGTATTCAGGAAACATGTTTGGCGAATGCTCCTGCTAAGTCTTATTTCATGTAGCTGAAATGTTATTCGAAAGATAACATTAAAATGCCATTTTCATGGGAAAAATAGCATGCACAATTTAGCAAACGGGCGTGTTAAAAGAACTCGGTGAGTGAGTGATTTGGTTTAAGACCTCTTTGAGCAGTATCTGGAGTGTCAGCTGGATTTCAGAGGAAAGTCCAAAATGGTTACGGTGATTGTTATGGTGTTAACGTTACTTTGATAAATACATATTGACATTCGATTTTGACTGGCAAATAAGATAGAAAAGACATGGTGAGGGTTCATGTTATAAATGCAGATATGTGGAACGTGATTTTGTGTTGTAGTGTGGGAGTTGTATGTCTTCTGTTTATACGTATCTTAGATTTACATATTTTCAGCACAGTTTAACATCCCAACTTATCTTTTAATATGTGTATTCTTTTATTGCAGATTCTTTCAATCTCGAAGCCCCTGTTGAGAATTTCAACGACGGCGACACACACGCATTCCAGTCTGTTATTGAAGACGTCATAGACGCCGCGCCCTCAGGTGACGAGTTCGACTTTCTGGATAATATTTGTGGTTTCTCCAGTAGCGACATTCCCGTGAAAAACAATAGTTCATCAGTGACGGGCACAGCTTGTGTTTACACCTGTGCCTCGGAAAAAGACAGGCGCGGCGACCAGTTAACGTGCGCACGGACTGATTCGTCAACGTGCATCAGCGGAGTGTACGACACGTGGAACGCGCTGTCTCCCGCCGATCAAGAACTGCTTGAAAAATTACCTGTCTTTTTAGAAAATGTTGACTCTGTGTTGATCTCAAATTCGACGAATGGGCGTGTTCGATCGAAGAAGCGAGAATGGGACTCGGAAATTCACGAGGTTGAACCTCGCAAACGATTACGATCGGAGGATACGCTTGGTATCTTCAACCATTCGAAAGACGATGCAAATACTGGCATTTTATCACGTGATAATATTTGCGCGAGGGGATCATGACAATCTTTTATCGCCATATGCATATTGTTGCATGTCATAGACGTTGTTACTCCATCGATTCCCATCAAAAGTGTTCATCGAAGACCGACTGTTGTGATTTTTATGGAACTGAAAGAAAGTGCCAACTGTTGTTTGTTTTGTGTTGTTTACATATGTTAATTATGAATGACGGATGCCGCCTTTTATAAAGTTATCTGTCAAAGTAGAACGCTTGTCATGTTGTTTTTCTGGAATATTTCTGAAAGCGGTGTAAAACCCAACTCACTCACTCATGTTATCATTCTACTCAATAATTACGTAGTAATATGATAGAGATATCATCATATCAACGTCCAATGCGGCACACCATGTGGGTTATATACAAGAGTCGAACCTTGATTTTATTTATTGCGTTTATGGTCGAAACACAGAGTATTATCCAAGTCAGCAATGCGCTTAAAGAGGCAGAGAATGGGCGATGGGGTAGCCTAATGGTTAAAGCGTTCGCTCGACACGCCGAGACAATGTGTGAAACCCATAACTGGTCCTTCCCTGGTCCTTTTCCCCGTGATATTGCGGGAATATTGCTAAAAGCGACGGAAAAACCATACTCACTCAAACAGTAAGGGTTTAAAACTTGGGCAATAAAAAGATATAAGATAAAACACCCAGTGCCCACGTCAGTGTGACAACATCCAACATAAAGGTGCGTTGTACACACTTCTTGACCGCTCCTGAGTCCGGTCCGCGCCATTTCAGGCTACATTCCAGCATTATCTCTGCGGGAACATCACGACTGGGCTTCGTATCTGGGTGTAAAGGCTGACCCAATCATAATATTGATAAGCTAATCAATACATTGTTGTTTGTGAATTGGGTGATAGTAAGAAGTCGTTGTAACAGTTGTCGACATCTGTGGCTAGCGTCAATCGAACCAGTGTATGAGTATCATGACGAAGCTACTGGTTTCAAACCAAATGTAATGCTCTTGAAACCTTTCCGCTGTGTTTGGATTCAGGTCCAAGTATATTATTATCGTCTCAACAGCCCATGGGAGTCGCACTGTATAGTAAGGTTGATTTCTGCCTGCCCCGGGTCGGTGGGGTAGCCTAATGGTTAAAGCGTCCGCTCGTCACGCCGAAGACCCAGGTTCGATTCCCCGCATGGGTACAATGTGTGAAGCCCATTTCTGGTCCCCCGCCGTAATATTGCTGGAATATGGCTAAAAGCGGCGTAAAACCATACTCGCTCACTCACTCACTCTGCCTGTCCCGAAAGCATGTGCCGTTGCTCATGATGTCGTCCATCGGTTTGCCTCGGCAGCTGGTATTATTGATCACCATGAATCATTGCTGCTTACTGCGTAAAATAGCTCAACAATATAAAACGACTTCCTCTGGTCGCCCACCCAATCTTCGTGACGTTTCCGGCCCAGAAATGATCACTCTAATGCCACAAATATAACGTCATATGAATCTGTCTACGAATATGATGGGTATTATGATAACGTGTCAACTATATCCTTCCGGTTACCGATAGCATTGCTTCGAGGAAAATCTGATTTAGAATAGAAAACTGATCATATACCAGAGACTGCGCTCTAGTGATCCCGCCTCGATAGTTCTACCTCCCACAACGCTTCAGTGTAACCAACACTCCCTCCCAGATCTATCTATCTATCCATCCATCCATCCATCCATCTAAGAATATTAATATAATACATACTGATACCGGGGCGGTGTTGAAGCCTAGTTGTTAAAGTGTTCGCTCGTAACGCCGAAGACCCGGGTTCGAACCCCCACATGGGTACAATGTGTGAAGCCTATTTCTGGCGTCCCCTGCCGTGATATTGCTTGAATATTGCTAAAAGCGGCGTAAAACAAAACTCACTCACATACTGATACCATTAAAGGTAAAATCCCTGATGGCTGGTCGGCGTGTAATAATATATTGTGGGGAAAATATCCGAGTCTTTCTTGAGTATAGATGACGTCATCCACGCCGTCGTCTCATGGAAAATACATCACATCTTTGTCGTGCGGTTTTATTGATTAGGATTCGTCCCACAGAAATAAGGATTGTCTTGAATAACTCATTGTCAAGCCGGAAAGAATGGGATCGGATCGTTCCTTTGTCATATCATACAAAGGTGGTAAAAATAGACAGCGATTATTGATAATCATGCCCAACCCAGGATTGCTGTGATGCTGTTAAAAATTGCCACAGCGTACACTCGCCCATTCGGACTGACATATGCAAACGTGTCGTCTAAATCATTTGGCTAATAGAGCAATATGGTGGGGTAGGGTGGGGTAGGGTGGGGCAATGGGTGGGTTTCGCCGGGTTGTGCTGTGGTCGTTTCGAACCCAAATCGGGTCCGGTCCCATAACCTGGTTAAGACATCCATAAAACGGGAATTGCTTCGCTAATGCACAGAAAACCTGTATTCATGCTTGCAGTACATACGTACCAATGCCAGCAGGATGGGCCGATTAACTGGACGAAGCGCTCATATCAATCACTGGATTGTCTGGTCTTGATTCGATCATTTACAGTTATATTGCAAGAATAATGCTGCGTGTGGAGTTGGAACGGTTGATTGTGGCTAGCATTCGGTCACTCGTTCCCTCACAGGTCGCCGTTATGTAAAGTATTGCTGGCCCGGCGTAATATAACATTCAAAAGTAGCAGTTGTTCTGGTGGAAGATCTAGGGTCGTCATATGAGCGAAACCTCATTTCACCTTAGGATTGTGAGTAAGTTGCAGTGAAATCAAAATGGTCAGATCTGAGTAAATCAGGTTGGGAAATTGTCTGGTGGGTGTGTGGAATTGTCTGGTGGGTTTGGGGAATTGTCTGGTGGATTTGGGGAATTGTCTGGTGGTGCAGGGGAACTGTCTGGTGGGTTTGGGGAATTGTTTGGTGGGTTTGGGGAATTGTCTGGTGGAGAAGGGGAATTGTCTGGTGGCTTTGGGGAATTGTCTGGTGGGGGAGGGGAATTGTCTGGTGTGGGAGGGTATTTTCAGGTGGAAGTAGTCACAGACAAGGTGGCAATTGTCCTGATTTGAAAGAGAGAGTGAGTTAATATTTTAAGTCACATCGGCAATATTTCAGCCATATCGTGACTTAAATCAAATTATAGATTTATAGTAATTGAAAGTAAAAATTAAAATCCTGTCAACAAAGGACAGTAAAACAACTAGATTATCATAGATATATACATTCAAAACTAGTATTAAAATCTACAATATTTTAACTATAAATGACAATACATTATAAAAAACAGGCTATAGATTGCCAACAACTGAAGGTAGATCACCATACTAGGGGCCATGGGGACTCACAGTACATTTGCTTCCTGCATGGACCCTAGCTGGGTTTACACCATCCCTTCAGATGTTAGCATATTTTTGACAATCTAGCCATAAATTAAGAACATATATGCTGCAGTAAATAACAAGTAGTATGTTTAAATTTACTATAATTGTTTTGGGACTTACGTACCCAGATTTAAAAGAAAGATGATCAGTGACACTCTATCATATCATGATTGACGTTGTCAATTTGGTCAAAGTCACGACACGGGCCGGCGCGAGGTTACTGTAATATTGCTGACAACTTATCGGGCAACACATCGGTGTCCCGGTAGCCTCGTACTTGCTTTATCTACGGAGTGCACTTCGGAAGCAGTCATAACAAGGACGTTGATGATACTATCTCATAGACCACTCGTCCTGTGCACCTTCGATACGTTTCCTCATCAGAGTGGATGTTTCACTTCAAGGGTTGCACACTTCCCGGCCTTACAGATCTGGTAACATTTCAAGTGGCAGGACAATGTTGGTATTCCGGATCGGGAAACGCTGACCTCCCCCCATGCTCGTTGTTATTGTATGCGTCAGCTGATATGTTTGTTTGTTTGTTTGTTGTTTTTTGCAGTCAGCTTTGTTTCAGCTCTATGGCGGCGGTCTGTAAATCATCTGATCACAGATAACCCAGTGATTGACATCATGAGCATCGATCTACACATCTGGGATGCGATGACATGCATCAACCAAATCATCGAGCCTGACCACCCAATCCCGTTAGTGAGTGAGTGAGTTTAGTTTTACGCCGCTTTTAACAATATTCTAGCAATATCACGGCAGGGGAAACCAGAAATGCCCAATCCCGTTAGTCGCCCGTCAGAACCATGGGCTGCTGAATGAGGATTCTCCACGGGTACCTTAATGGATCTGACTGAAGTTGTTTGAGCCTAATTTAAACAGTTCCGTTATATTCAGCCTTGTCAGCTTGATGTTGGAGGAAATCCCAAAAGCTATGCGTGTCTTGGGCGTTTGCCACTATGGTGAAGAGCTCGGGTATGGTACTTATAAACCGTCAACCAGAACACGGATTCGAACCCACGATCAACGAGTTCTGGCAGGACTGAACTCTGAACGGAGAAGAGCGGCGCCTTTAACCTCTGGTCTTCCTGAAGAACGCGTCACGCCGAAGACCCGAGTTCGAATCCCCACATGGGCACAATGTGTGAAGCCCATTTCTGGTGTCCCCCGCCGTGATGTTGCTGGAATATTGCTAAAAGCGGCGGAAAAACCAAACTCAGTCAGGCAGTCCTGAAGAACGAGTGGTTTCCATGTGATTAAACACCATCTACAAGACTTGTCGGTATTTCATATATTTTCTTATATTCCATTTATTCTGTTTTATTTTATTTCGACAGCAGATGAGATCGCGTTTTTTGCGTTATCACCCAACAGTGCAAGACTCGATCTTGTACAGTTCTGTGATGCATTTGGAACGCTGATGACTGCGGCATGAAGGTACATTCACTCAGTCAGTGTACTACATCATGGACACGCCGAACTCAGTACGTAGGAGGGACAGTGTACATTCCAGGACAAGCAACATATCAAAACTGATGACGTTGTTGTGTGTGTTTCACTGTAACTGTATATATAATGCGTCAGCGAGTACCGTTACCTGTTCAAGGTCATTTGATGGACCAAATCTACAATAATCCGTTGAAACATATCACATTGTAGCTAAACATTTCATTTGACCTTCAAGTTGCCATCTAAACAAGCCCTGGTCGGATGCACGTTGAATATGTAATATAATAACAACGTCCAGTACAAAAAAGGTACTGTTATTCACACCATTTGAAATCCATTTACGTGCCATTCACATTACTTTTACACATCCATCTATCCATCCATTAGGGCTGGGAC